TTCTTCCATGATGCCTGCCACCGTCCATCACGCCCAACACGCCCGTTCCCCCCGCCCCCCACCGCTCGCCTCGAATTGTCACCTCACCTCCAACCGGATGGACCCTTCGTCCGTCCGGCGGGCGCAGACTGCCGACGACGACGACGACGACGACGAAGACGAAGACGAGGACGAGGGCGACCAAGACAATCGCCACGGTCTTGCCTCAATTTCCAAATTGTGAATTAGCCCGGCGGCACAGCACTGCTCTGTCGCTCCGCCCATTTCCTTTCCAGCCGTCTGTCACGCCGCATTTCAATCAACAGGCGACCCTGTACTTCCTCAACGCCACCGAGCCATGGGACGACAATGCCTGGTTTGCTTCATATAGACTGCTATATTTGCTCAACTACACATGCTAGCCGCATCACAAGGTGTGATGGTCTTGTTGCAGCTCTGCCTGGGTTGCTGTTAACAGTCTTGATGTCCGACTACCTACACCTACGATACGCAAGTAGTTGTCCCGCTACAAATTTCCCTCTTTCGTGGGCTGTTTGCGAGACAAGCTGCTGCCCAAGAAATTAGATTAGAACCATTGGACCACTTCTCCTGCTTGGTTCATGCGCAACACCTAGCACATCCACCCCTACGCACATATACCTACTTACACACGCACACACCTACATGTATCCATCCGCACGCTAGGGGGAACGCCCCTTCTGCTTGCGAGTCAGCCCCGCGCAGAATCTGATGCGTGGAAGTTTCTGAGACATCCGGCTCGGGTTCGTGTGAAGTGATTACCTCAATATAGACTTTTGGCAGATGGCGCTGCCCTCGACACGTGGCTATAATGCGCGTCTCATGTCCAGGCAGAAGCGTATCTTAAGCCCTACTACGCTGCCATGCGTTGGATCATGACCTTGTACGTTGGCTAACCTTGCCCAACTCTGCTTACAAGCTAACGAACAAAGGAGGGTACCTGTCTATCGAGCGCCGAAGCCTCCGTCGATAGCCTAGCTTGGGTCATGTTTGACCGGCCCGTTTCTCCAAGCACACACTGCCAGTCGCCTCGAGCCCATGGCCGTACGGTCAGTGCTACCTCATGCGAACGGCACACCGCTCCAATAAGATGGTGTTCTAGAAACCAAGATGACTCGATCCATTACCTGGTGGCTTGTCGTTTTGTAAGTAGTCGGCCCGCCATCACTTACACTTTTCCCCACCACCTTGCCATCACCGTGACCGAGTGCCTCGCCATTGCGGCTTGCCATGCGCTGCGCTACCAGTCGCCATCCGCACACCCATCATCGGACGCCACGAGATGGTGTGAAGGGCTGGGTTGACCGTGCCACTCTTGCGCTTGGATTTGTTGAAGCGAGAGAGTCTAAGCGACGTGGCGGTGTATTTCCCGTTGCAGTGCATCCAAACCCTGACCATCGAAGCACTATCGAAGCCTTGTCGAAGACTCCAAGGATTTACACTTTGCGCCGTTACATGGCTTCGGGTCCGTGTTTGTAAGGCACTTCCGGGTGTGTCAAAAACCATCGAGAAACTAGCTTGCTGCACTTCGTTGGACTGTCAACAATTTAGGCGCTTTTGTTCTTGCAAGCCCACGCTCAGCCTCCCATGTCTTCGAAGGGAACTAACTGCACAACGGCTAGCGGTACGCCTACGTTTGTTTTTGTACTTGCCAAGAACAAGACCGTGGTGAGGGAAAGGCTACTACTCACCGCCCAAGCCAACCAAGCTCTAAACAACCCTTCTAGAAGACGATGAAAAACAAAGAAATGGCCGTAAGCATCGGTGCATCTATCTACATTACTGCCATTTGCCCGTTTGGCTCTCGTTTCTGCCTCCCCACGCCGGACAAACACCACCGCTCTGCCGCCCTTTTCGGCATCGGGCAAGCCCCACAATGCTCGGCATTCTCCCCTTCCGGTTCATTTTTCCCTCTCGGTCATCTTCCCGGCTATTCTTCAAACAAAGGGCCACTCCCCCTTTCTCTTGATTCGCTCACTCTTCCTCCCTCTTCCCCTCCTCCTTTTCCTGTCGGAAACCCCGGTGCACTTGCAGCCAATCTTTTCCATAGCGACCGACATTGGTTAGCCAAGCAGGTCTATGCCCCATTCGCTCCTGTCGGTCCGGAAAAGAAGTGTTGCTGAGGGCGGTGTGGTGGCTTTCCGGATTCCGCCCAGCCGAATCTGTGCGGATTAAGGTGTTTGTTGCACGGGCTTGATCAGTGCCTACAGGAATTGCCCGGACTATCCGGTGCTGCTTCTCAATACGTGATGCCATGTCGGACTTGGCCTTCACCCAACCGAAGTGCCATTGGAGAATTGATGATGACATCCTTTCCGGATCGAGAGATGAAGCCAATTGTCATCTGTTTGGCATCCTAGCTAGGAGCTGTATACAAGTACCTACTCGGTCGATGGGGCTGGGGTGTTCCGTGGCCGCCAAGGAGATACCAGCCCCATAGCGAAGAGGTTCGGAATATGGGCTGTGACGCGCTCTTCAGGTCCAAATTGCTTTTCGCAGATAATGGTGATGCTGTTAAAAAAGGGGCGTCGACACTGCGCGCCCGCGTATTTTCACCACTCCCTTGGACAACATGAAGCTATGGAAAGTTCGGCCATGCGATTGTTCGAGCAAACGTCCACCAACTCCGATCTAACGAAGCATGTAACTCGATTAGGTCGCCGAGATATGTATCTAAGCAAGACGGTCAACGTAGACTGTGAAATTGGCTGCCCTTCTCCTCTTTGTCACGTATCTCGTGGGCTATCAAGTGAGCGTTGGGGCCGTCACCATGTGGCTAAAGAGAGGGTTGTTGACCTAGGTACTGAAGTGTGGTGAGGTATCCTTATGCCATTCGCATCGTGGCTACTGACGCTCAAGGGGTCATCGAGTAGGCGATCCGGCCGTATCACAGTAGTTTAGAAAATAGACTTAGGTCTACTATCCGCTGGACTTCCCTCGCTGGGTTTCTTGCGTGGCAGTTATTGCTCCTCATAATGAATGGTCATGGACCCCAGTTCCAGCTTGGCCAGAATTGTATCATTTATCTATCTACCCGATTATCTTTCACTCTGCAATGCTCTCAGCGCAAAAGCTGACAGGTGGTTGAATCGGGCGATCTGCTTGTTAAAAATGATACTGATTTAACCATGTGACGGGGGCAGAACTTGATGTCTCGGCATATCATAGTCTCGATATTTCTCACAGGTTAGCGATGTGTTCACCAATGGGACAACAAACGGCTGCCCTGTGTGTAAAGCATTGCTACTTCATCACGCGATATGGGGCTGCAATCGAGATTTCGAATTGCTTGTCACGCGAGCGATCGATGGTGAAGTCGTTGCGCTTTCACTTGCAGTCGATGAACCGATTTTCAAAGTGGCTCAGAATGATGGTCTCTTACGAGTAAAGAATTCGGAGCCTCAAAACTGCACGTCAAGCAGTGTTTGGGGCACAGACAACTGCTCTGGGTAGAGAGTAATACCGTAGTGTAACACCTGGATGCATTACACGTGAATATGGTGCTGGAGTCTTGCCACGGCACGGCTCTGACTGATGATGTGAAGTCAAAATAGAGGTCAATTTCTTCCCCAGACAATCCATCTATTTTCTGAGGAAGTATCTGTCATCAGCTGGAGAACCCTTTCAAGGATCGGGGCGGATCTCCGGACCATCGGTGTCTCCAATGTTCGCCATTGCTCGGTAAACCTCAGTTCTTAATCACATCTCAGGGCAGAACCTAACGCTGGTCGCCTTGCAGACGCACAGCGGACGGAGTTTGCTTCGATGGCCCGAGGGGCACAAACATGGTCCAACGGCTAAGCCCTCCATTGGTCGTCACAGGTATCAGTAGCCTGTGATGATGTGGGCCATTCAAGCGGCAATGAGGGGCCCATCTACCCCTCTTTATGCAGAGTCGCTTATGATCAAGCAAGATCCGGGACCAAGTGTAACAAGCTCAACGAATGATCATCCAGTAGGATGTCACGAGCATCGTAGCCCGCCGAGCGTGTTGTCCATTTGCCTTCTCCGTCTGAGGGATGGAGCCCAGGGTGGGAGATAGAGTGACACGCCGTATTCCCTTACCCAGTGAAAGTAGCTTCCTTCTAGGTTCAAAAGCGAGGCGGGTGTCTCCAGAAGTATTCTCAGCCAGAGTGCCTTTGATATGCCCAGTTCATCGACACCCGCCACGATGGAACATTTAGACACTTGGACTTACAGGTTGGGAAGCCAGTAGAGCTTTCCCACTAAAGAGACACGCTCGGAAGATGGATCAGAGTGACCACTTTGGATAAGAACCTCAGTTCAGAAGATGGATCGTCCGCATATGAACGGTTGAATGGGGCCGGGGTACCGGAGCTGATGGACCGGAGGTGGTTGACTTAGCCCACTGATTAAGGGGCCCGCGACTCTGCATAGCTCCGCAAGTCGACTTCCATCTCACAGAGACGCACGGTTACCCGATTGCAGAACCGTGGCGGGAATTGAAACCCAGCACCGAGGCCCGTGGCGGTGTCGTCGCCTATTTGCGCCCTGTTTGGAGTACACATATCGGCATCATAAAACACCATGCACGTATTCCGAGCCGGAGCCAGTCGTGCCAGTCCCGGTGGGGAATGCCGGACGGTTACGGCCGGCCCACATTGCACTGTGTCCTTCATTCGGCTGAACCTCGCTAGATCTTCGTCAAGTCTGCGTCTTACCTCCGGCGAAAGATTGGATCCATCTGCCACTATGTAGCTTCTGCTACCGTAGCCGAACTTCAGCCGGGGGCGAGAACGGTGAATGTTTCGTTATCGCGTCGTCTGACGGGATTTCGGGACGACGTTCATGTCCAAAATAGACCAGCCAATCCGCTATCATCGGATGGGGTTAAATGCCTGAGCTAGGACAAAACCAAGACACCACGGCGGAAACCCATCCGAGCTTTACCCGACAAATGAGGGGCAACTCCCCTCACAACGTGCGTGGGGTAGGTTGGACTGATGGAGGGCATTGGATATCGACGTCAAGCCAATTCATCGGCCCGGCCCCGTGTAAGAGAACTCTCCACCTTTCCGCCTATCGGTTGAAGGGCATGCATGATTGGAGGAATACTGTCGCTTCCAACTGCTTCTGGCTGCATGCAAACATGCCCTGCTTGCCTGTAGTTCCCCGGTGACGGCAGCGGCTACTCTATCCGATTAGCTTCCGTTACGTAGGACATGAGACCGACGGGCGGAAAGTTGGCAAGCTTCAGCCCAGTATCAGCCAGTTCCCGCCGCGTCCGAAGCTGTTCCACTTCTCGAGTTTGTCGCCAATCTATTTAACAGCATGACCCGTCGGAAGAGCTCCTACTCCTTCCTGCGTCTCTTACCCATCCCTCACTCTCTCCCTTCTCGCCTGTCTGTTCCTCTTCGTTGTTTGTTCACGTTTTTGGCAGGCACCGTGGACTGTTGAAGCGGCTTCCGTAGATAAACCAGCCGCTTCACGCTACCCGCCGCTGTTCACAACTCGCAATGGCCGACTTTGACGTAGAAGAGGTGCTCAAGAAGCTCACCGTCTCCGAGAAGGTTGACCTTCTTGCGGGTAAGTTTCGTCCCTGCGTTCTGCTGAATCACTCCCAGCCAAACTACCATCGAGTACCGGAAACGGTCAATGACAAGCTAACGATGAAACCTCCAAAGGTATCGACTTCTGGCATACCAAAGCCCTCCCCAACCACAACATCCCCTCCATTCGACTCTCCGACGGCCCCAATGGCGTGCGCGGGACCAAATTTTTCAATGGCATCAAGGCCGCTTGCTTCCCTTGTGGTACAGCCCTCGGCGCCACTTTCAACACTGAGCTCCTCGAAGAGGCCGGTAGAAAGATGGGTGAGGAGGCCAAGCTCAAGGGAGCCCATTGCATTCTGGGCCCTACCATCAACATGCAACGTTCCCCGCTCGGCGGCCGAGGTTTCGAGTCCATTGGTGAGGATCCTATCCTGGCCGGGCTTGGCTCCGCTGCCATCGTAAGAGGCATCGAGAGCACTGGCATCCAGGCGACCCCAAAACACTTTGTCTGCAACGACCAGGAGCACAGGCGCAATGCCGTCCACAGTATCGTGACGGAGCGCGCGTTGCGTGAGATATACGCACTGCCCTTCCAGCTGACCTTCCGTGACTCCACGCCTGGCGCCCTTATGACGGCCTACAACGGCGTCAACGGCACTTTCTGCAGTGAGAACTCCGACCTGCTGGACAAGCTGGTCCGTAAGGAGTGGGGCTGGGACGGCATGATCATGAGCGATTGGTACGGGACCTATAGTACAACGGAGGCAGCCAACGCCGGTCTCGACCTCGAGATGCCCGGCCCCCCTCGCTTCCGTGGAGAGCCTCTCAAGTTTAACGTGTCGACGGATAAAGTCCGTCAACACGTACTCGATGAGAGAGCTCGCGCCATGCTCAAGTTCATCAAGAAGGCTGTAGCTACCGGCATTCCCGAGGGCGCGCCCGAGAAGACAGGAGACACCCCCGAGACTGCCGAGTTGCTGAGACGCATCGGCGGTGAGAGTATCGTCCTTCTAAAGAACGATGACAACGTACTTCCCCTGAAGAAGGACAAGAAGGTCGGCAAACTCTCACGGGATAGAAGACATAGTAGCGATCGCTGACCTCTTACGACTATAGACTGTTGTCATCGGCCCCAACGCCAAGATCGCCACATACCACGGAGGTGGTTCGGCCTCCCTGGCGGCGTACTACGCTGTCACCCCCTTCGACGGTATCAGCAAAAAGCTCGAGTCTCCTCCCGAGTATACTGAGGGCGCCTACTCTCACAAGCTCCTTCCACTCCTTGGCAATGTCTGTAAGTCGGCTGACGGCAAGCACGGTATGACGATGCGTGCCTACAACGAGCCCCCGACGGACCGCCACCGCGAGTTTGTTGACGAGCTAGTCCTGACCAAAACGGAGCTGCTGCTCGTCGACTACTACAACCCCAAGCTCAAGTCCAAACTCTGGTACGCCGACTTTGAAGGCTCCTTCGTCGCCGAGGAAGACTGCACCTACGAGCTCGGCCTCATCGTCTGCGGTACAGCCAACCTCTTTGTCAACGGCAAGCTGGTCATCGACAACAGCACCAGTCAGCGCCAGGGCGACGCCTTTTTCGGCGCCGCCACCGTCGAGGAGAAGGGCCGAGTCGAGCTCAAGAAAGGCGAGACGTACAGCTTCAAGGTTGAGTTTGCCTCGGCCCCGTCGTCTAAGCTTCAGGGCGGCAACGTCGTCTTCGGCGGCGGCGCTCTGCGCATTGGCGGCTGCAAGGTCATTGACAACAAGGCCGAGATTACCAAGGCCGCCGCCCTCGCCAAGGATGCTGATCAGGTCATCATCTGTTCCGGTCTCAACGCCGACTGGGAAACGGAGGGTAACGACCGTGCCGACATGGACCTCCCGGGCTACCTCAACAAGCTCATTTCGGCTGTCGCTCAGGCGAACCCGAACACCGTTGTCGTCAACCAGTCGGGAACCCCCGTGCGCATGCCCTGGGCCAAGGATGTCAAGGCCCTTGTCCAAGCCTGGTACGGAGGCAACGAGACGGGTAACGCCATCGCTGACGTGCTCTTCGGCGACGTCAACCCCTCGGCTAAGCTCTCCCTCAGCTTCCCCGAGCGTGTCCAGGACAACCCGGCCTACCTCAACTACCGCGCCGAGGCCAGCCGCACGCTGTACGGCGAGGACATCTACATTGGCTACCGCTATTACGAGTACATCGACCGTCCTGTACTCTTCCCCTTTGGGCACGGCCTGTCCTACACGAGCTTCAGTTTCAGCGGCCTTAAAGTCACTGAGAAGGACGGCAAGATTGCCGTCGACGTCACTGTCAAAAACACAGGCAAGTTGCAGGGTGCCGAGGTTGTGCAAGTATACGTCGCGCCCAAGCAGAAGGCCAAGGTCAACCGCCCTCTTAAGGAGCTCAAGGGCTTCGCAAAAGTGTTCCTTGCGCCGGGAGAGAGTAAAAGTGTCGCAGTCGATATCGAGACCAAGTATGCTGCCAGTTACTTTGACGAGGAGCGCCGCCAGTGGTGTGCTGAGGAGGGAGAGTACGAAGTAATTGTCAGCGACAGTAGTGTTTTGACGGATAAGGCCGTCAAGGGTAGCTTCAAGGTTGGTGAGACGTTCTGGTGGTCCGGCCTTTAAAGGGAATTGAGAAAAGAAAAAAAGAAAGAAGGAAAGAAAAGGGGGTTATGTACTGCGTCATATGGGGGAATGATGTTTTGTTTAAGGAGCCTTTCTTTCCTATTTGGTCTTGGATATGAACGAATGAACCCCATAACATCAACACAGGGTCAGCTGACTGACTGGCCGTTTGAGTGAGTCAAACAAACTAGCAGATCCCAATATAATCATCCTAATTTATAGTGTGGCATGCCTGTCACTATACTCGTGATATCTACTCTGCGGAGCTCTGACGCTTCTACTGCGAGATCGAGCAGACCACCAGGTCTGCTCCGCAAAATGAACGATTACGACGCGTGTCAACGCTTCGGTAGACCGGCCAGTTTTCTAGACACAGGCTACGTATATGCGGACCGCGTTGCAGATTCTAGCACAGCTTAAGGCCACGAGCGGCAAGCGGCCGAGCCATAAGGTCCAGTTTATCAGAGCGAAGATTGTTGCAAGTATGCAGGGTCTGGGAGAGCAGAGTTTCGAGATGGACGAGTAGGGTCAAAGTTTCGACACCATTGCAGGGTTGCCAAACGCTGGTCAGAGGCAACATCGCCTATCGATCGCATGCTCAATTTCGTGAAAGATTGTACAAGAGAGGTTCGCTTCTCATACAGCGCCTACGCCCTTCTCTCCCATGTCTTCGTCGGAGCTTGGTGTTCTGCCGTGTTCTGGCTGCAGCGGCTCGGCCGGTGGCAGCCAAGGCTCTGCGTCTCCCAATCTCTGGACGGTGAGACCCGCATTCCCGGCGTTCTTCATTCCCGCCTCGAGCTGGCGCTGATATGAGATGCGGCGGAGACGTTCGGATTCTGCAGGGGTCAGATGGAGCTAAGGTCTCATCAGTATTCGGTCTCCCGCAGTGACATCTAGACCGAAGGGAAAAAGGGACAGGCTGTAGAAGTTACAAGGAATCAAGCTTACGTATAATTCGACAAGAACAGCGTGAATAGCCAGAGCCAGCCAAGACCCGGCGTCGAAGACGGACGTGAAACCGGCCGCGATCTCGGCGGGCTGGCGGGCGTGATAGTTGCTGTGGATGATGACATTGAGACCAGGGCTCTCGCCCGAATAGTAGCCGCCACAGCCCGGGTAGAGATCGATGACTTTGGTCTGATTATGTCTGAAGATGAAGTCTAACACGGCGCACTGCTTGACCTGGTAGTAGTCCGAGTCGGCCGTAATCATGACGGCCAGGAAGCCGATGATGCGCATGGTGATGATGAAACCGGCCTATGAGGCATGGTATGTTAACACTCAATCCTGTCAAAGAGGTCAAGATTTGCAAAGGTTTGTCTTACGTAGACCCAGGCTCTCATCATCCAGGCACGATGCTGCTCGATCTGGAGCTTCTTGATGTTGTAGAAAGAGAGGCCCAGAGCGCCGAGAAACATGATGCTGCTGGTGCCCATCACCGTCTGCACGCTCACGCCCCCCCCAAAGGTACGACGGGCAACCATTAGGACACCGATGATACCAACAATGCTAAGGAGGAGGATGAGATACCCATTGAGACGATGGAACAGTATGGCCTCTTGGCGGATGACGGGTATAAACTGCAGACAGGCGAGAAACCCACCAGGAATCATGCCAGCGAGGTGCATTATGATGCCGGCCCGCCCCGTGCCCGACTGATAGAAGTAACACTCCCCCGGAACGGTGCGCTGTTTGTGATCCGGGTTGCAAAAAACGCCATCAATGTTGAAATACATCATGCGGGAAAGGGCGAAACCCATCATCCCTCCCGCCGTGACGACGAACAGGGTAAAGTTGTAACCCCTCTTGAAACCAATGGGGTGATAAACCTTGCGCGCAAGAGCGACGAAGCCTTGGGCGGAAGGGATTGAGAAAGGAGGAGTAGATGTCATCGCAACGGTACCCAAAGGGGGCTCGGCACAACACAAGGTTGATATGGACCAGGGAGTGAGAAAGCGCCGCCGCTTTTCTCCTTCTTATATGTGGAAGAACGGGTAGAAGATTTGACACAGTCGCAGACATGAACGGCGTGACAGAGCAACTAGTGAGAGGGGACCTTTCATTTAAGTTGAAAACCCAGCCAACGCAACAACGACGTTCCAGGGTCTTGGACAATGGTCCCAAAGTGGCAGTTTGCTTTAGCGCAGGGCCACATAGAGGCACAAGTTTGGGCGGCAAACATTGATAGCTTCTCGCAAGCAAACACCTGGGCACCAGATAGGCGAAGTCAGGGCTGAGCTGGGGACGAACGTCTGGATCCTTAGCAGGAAACCCCCCGTCCCCCCAGCCTCTTAGAGTGAGGCGGAAAGGTCTACCGTACAGATAACAAGTAAGCCGACCAAGCGTTCCAATCCATGCGGCCGTACGGGATAGATCGTGTGCATACGGACAGCATTAGTGTTGATATAGATGGCGGGGGGCGAGCAAAGAAAAGGGGAGATGGCTCTATGCGTCCCGTAGCGGTGTGCCTGTGCCTCGCCCGACAAGGATTTATATCCAGCCACAGACAAGGATGCCAGGCACTGGGAAAGGAAATGCAAACCCGGGCTGGGAGCAAGACACTGTGCCATACACAACAGCCCGTATTGAGCTAGACCGCCGAACCGAGTTGAGAGGGATGGATTGTCTAGCGAAAGAAAGAGGGGTAAGAAGAGGAAAAAAAGGAAATTATCGTAAAAAAGAAAAGAAAAGAAAGAAACAAAATAACTTGACTTGGGGCTGGTGGATAACACTTCATCACTCTGCCAAGATTTGGATGTGATGGTAGGAAGGAGGGGAGCACGGGAGGTACCTACCTAGGTAGTTAGGTAGGTAAGTACTAAGTAGGTAAGAACAGGTACGTACCTGTTCAGGGCCCTCAAACCGTGACCCACCTCCCCGACGCGTCCAGACCCTCCGCTACTCACTCCCACAACCGCCGCCACCCCCGGTATCCGCGTGCCCGGCCGCCGTGTCTCCGTCCATTTTACCGCACCCCCCCGTTCAAACCGGCCTCTGCTTGCTCCTGCCTAGTTACCTACCTATTCAGGTATCAACTCCATCCAAGCGCCAGCAAAACACACAGTTGATGTGATACGGCCGTGCGTGTTCCCGTACATCAAGATGGCGTCAACGCAAGCCCCTCTCCCGACGGTGATCGCACAAAAGCAAGCCTTCCTAGCAGCCCAGAACCGTCTCCTTTCGCTGCCCCTCCAGCCATCCCCTTCCTGGCTCGCCGCAAACGAAGCAGCCGACACCCCAATTCCTGACCCAGTCGTCGAGCATGTTATCGCCCGCCTCAACACTGCCGTACTACAACATTCGCGGCGCGCCTACTCGCACCAGGCGAGCCGCCACGTCGCCGAGCAAATCGACGCCCTTTACCTGTCCCAGCCGTTCGCGGCGCACGACGACAAGCCAGACGAGGGATTGCCTCTCTCTTTGGACCTGAGTAAGTCGTTCTTCTGATACGTCGAACGGACCCGTGCCGTGATTAGTCTGGATGTGATGATTAACGGAGCAGCACAAAAGCCGAGGAGGCGGCTCTTAAGTCCCTTCCTCCGACATGGCCGGCCGACCGCGACGTTATCGCATACCCCATGGAATCCAGGCGGTATGCAGAGCAAGTAGATCGCCTTAAGTCGCTCGCTGAGAGGAGGCGGCAGGTTAAAGCCCGCGTTGGACGGGTGCGGCGCATGGAGGCTCTGCTTGGCCCTTTTCGCTCCGACAGTGATGGTATGGGCGTGCAGGAGAATCTTGTTATCCGCGACGGTGAGATCGAAAAGGAGATGGAGAAGATGCGAGTTCTTTTGGCACGCGTCGGCGGTCGTGTCAGCCTTCTGCCTGAATCCACAGAATCTGGAAGCTTGTTCAGGGAAGATGACTCCCTCGTCGTGGAACATGTGGCCGCAGGAGAGAAACGAAAGCTCGACGAACTCCTCGATAGCTTCTGAAGCGCTTTTTAAGGGCGATATACGCCACGGCTAACGCGGAAGCGCTCGTCTTGTTGGGCTCATGATAGTATATTGGATACCGATGGGGGAGAGGCGTTAGGTTCTAGGTTCTAAGGATACCCCAATGTCAATTAAAAGCAATCTGCTTGTTCCTCCGAGTCCCTCTCGAAGCCTTGACAAGATGCCGTTGGTCTCAAAGGTTGAAGCTTGCCCTTGCCAGTGCGCCTGCTCCCTGCGCAGCCTGCGCTCTTCTGACAGTACCACAGCGAACTAACACAGAGGTGTGGCTGAGATCCTCACTGGTAGGCCTAATGCTCTTCTTCCGTTGTTTGATCTCCCCCTCCAGAGTGGCATCTTTGGCGCTGTCGTCCACATCTAGACCTTTCGACTTCTTGTCGCCCGGTTTTGATGCTTTCGGTGTCTCTTCCTCTTTGTTGTAGGGGTTTGGTCGCACAACTCGCAGCTTGACGACAACCTCGGTTTGGCAATCTTCTGATGCCTTGTAGTATATCCGAAAACCCACCACAGCCACAGCGTTCCAAGGGTCCCTCTCAAACTCATCCTGGTCGTCAACGGATGCCGCCGTTGCCGGCTGCGGCGACGTGCGGCCAACAGCAATGGGTTCTTGTGCCTCTATGACATCAATCTCGAGTTCTAGTTCCCGCTCAGAGAGCTCTGACAAGCTGGAGACACTTGAAATCCCATCGTCATCTGATTCGCATAGCAAGAACTCGGAAGCTTTCGAAGGGGCTGCTGCTTCGCTCTCTTGTGGAGTGGCTCCGTGACCCCCACTCTTAACGCTACTGACCTCTCTCGCATCACCTTTCGACTTTTGAGTCTCGAGAATGGCCTCTGGTACTTTAATGGATAGCCCTTCGGGGCAACGAACAATCATCTTTGCTTGCACATTCATGGGTGGTCTCGCTCCATCATGGGTACGGGGAGAGGTTGGTGGCTCTTCCGGGACAGTGATTTTTGGACGGTCAGCAGACTTGTTCTGGCGCTGCTCCATTCCACATATTGTCAGGTCGTTTATCCTTGGCTCAAGACCCGTAGAATCGGGCGTTTGTATCGGGATATGTTTTCTTGTCGTGGAGTTTGGTGACTCTAGGGATGCGGGGGGTTCGTCGTGTATTTCTAGTCGCTTTGGTGGTACAGAGCAAGGTATTGCCGGTACAGATCGCATCCCTTTTATGGACCTGAGCTTCTCAATTTTAGCCTTGTGCCGTGCTTTGCGCTTTGCTTCCTCCTTCTGTCTTCTTTTGACAGCTCTGGCCTTTAGGTAGTGCTGTTGTTCTCGCTTCTCGAGGAGCTTCCGTTTGATTTCAGCGCGTTTCATTTCCCGGTTCTTCTTCTCGTAAGCTTCTCTGGCGGCCTTCTCTTGGGCAGATTCCACTAATTTCCCTTTGCTATGAGCAAGGTCGTATGCCAGCCCTATTCGGATAAGCTTCTCCCGGCGACCCTTGGCATTTTTTCGAATAACATGCTCGATGGGAAGAACCTGATCGTTTCGAACTGCATCCAGCTTGACGAGGACCTCGTAGCTACCGGCTTCGAGATCGAGCTCAACGTTGACTGAGCGGGTCATGCGGTATGATGCTTGACTTCGTACGACATAGTCTTCCTGGCCGGCTTTGTGCAGACGGAATTGCAAGTCGAATCTGTACTGTCCTTCAAGCCCTCGGAAGTAACGGTCGTCTAGTTGAGCCAGGACAAGAACTACTGGGCCGGACTTTGAAATTGTGAATGCGAAGTATGTATCGTGGTAATCCAGTGTCCACGGTACCGAAAGTGTCGTCCATATAGATGTAACCTTCCAGCCAGGGCCAAACAGCCGAGTCGCATCGAAGATGCTATACTTCTTGAGCAGGTCACCGTAGGAGATCCAAAAGACTCCATCGTCTCCAAACGTATGTTGGAGTTTTTGCAACCACTCCGGGGTCCATTCCTTGGAGCCGTCACCTGCTGCTCGTTAGCATGGAGTAACATGAACAATCATCAAGAACCTAAGATATCACTCACTCCAGGCGCCTTTCCACTCCCCCTTGCCCCAAGGATTCTTCAACAAAACTAGTCTATGGCCATCCATCTCGACTGCTTTCATGACACTATAGGCGTGCATCTCAATGATACCCTTTCGTTCGCCCCAGCCTCTTGATGCAAATCCTGTGGAACAGCCCAGAAGCCAGTCCTGGTTGACTTTGAGCAGCTTCTCGTTCCAAAAGTACTCCTTATCAAGAATGTCCGTCGTGTATATCTCAGAGGTGACGCCTCCGGTGAGATCTTCAATGGCCTCGCCGGTAAAGCCGCCCTCGATAGACGCATAGTCACCATGCGCCTTGGCGTAGGCCTTTTCGAGGAGAGGCAGCCATGTCTCATTTGAATTCTCGCATTGAGCAAAATACAACGCACCGCTGTTCGTCTGGTAGATGCGTCTGTAGGCCTCCTCTGAGTTGACGCGCTCTCGGTCTTCCCAAAGAATACGTTCGAGATGTCCTTCATCATAGTCGGGCTTGGTGAGATATAGCTACGACACAGGTTAGCACGAATAAAAGACAACTCCTCCCATGCCTGCCGTTGCAGGACGAGTCAACTTGGGCATGGAGGATAGGGGAAATATGCGGCTAGATACCTTGTCATCAATGATTTCGCTGAACCACTCCCCGTCGCGATGAAAAACAAATCCATAGACGCCGACATGTTGATCGTGGGCAACGCAAACCCTCTCGATTAGACCAGGCTTGTTGCTGAGGTTGCACAATGCAGCCATGAGCCAGCAGTCCCCATCCCGGCCTTGGCGTACATCATCGGCTGTAGGCCCGTCGATAAAAAACTGCGGCTTGTCGAAGATGTCGACAACCCGTTTGACGGCTTTCGGGTGGAACGAAGATTCCGGAGGATCCCTGCCTTTGGCATTCCAGAGGGATTCGAGGCAGTCTCGTCGCCCAAACTTCAAGTCAAACTCGATGTCATAATGAGGGTCTCTATAACGTTGGTTCACCCTCCGGCATTCTTGTACAATCTTCTCGACCTTGGCTCTGCAGACAGTTGCAGCCTCCTCATACGAGGTTTGAGTGCCGATGCCTATGACAGTACCGGATCGCCTCGCAACCCTCTCCGCATACGCGTTCTGGGGAATGACAGTTGTGGCTGAGCACGCCGATTAGACAAGACTCATGTCGGGTTTGATGGGAGGACGAGCGGTGGAGATCTCTTGCATCAGGGAAGCGACCAACCTTTACCCGGGGCCTTGGTGGTAAACTTTGCCCAGAAATCATCGACAATTTCTTGAGGAGGCTGTTGCTTGGCCTTTCGGGGTTTGCTAAGGATCACGGGCATGCTGGCCAGGTGTGTTCGGTGATGCAGGTGGTTAATGATGTCTGGCACCACAGACGAAGAACTGGATTCTGTATCTGAGCTGGAGCTGCTGCTGGACGACATGGCGGGAAATATTGAGGGAATTGCTTGTGGATGTTGTTACAGAGATGGCAGCTAGTACTGAATATCGATCGTGCTTACTGACACCCGTTCAGCTGATCCGAGCCGCCAGCTACCTAGGCTGGGTTGTTCAATTTGCGGTGCTAACGAGGCAGGTGGCCTCAGCTGCACTATTATGTATCCTTAAGGAAGTACAAGACAACGTCCAGGAAAGGAAGAGACACCCACGAAAGTGCCAGAACAGAACGATCAGGTCGCGTTAGGAGAGAGCATACATCAACACCAGGCAAACTTCACTGGTTGCGAAATGCAGGTTAGTGGCAGCGCTCCCCACCCCTATATACACACACATAAGCTAAGAGGGCCCAAGATACCCTTGACCAGATAAGATGAGGCTCTTTGTCCAACTAAGAACCGTCGGCTTACGAAACTGACCTCGGGCGAGAAACGTCACTCGACGTGCATGCCTGCTGCATGAAGAGCAGGTAGGGTAGTACGGGGCTTCGAGTTGTGCTTCACTCGTGACTTGTTTTCACAGCCAAGCCGTCTCGTGTCATCAGGCAGATAGGCAGAAACGGGCAGAAAGAGTGGGTTAAGCCGATGGTCTCCCTAACATCAGGCTGTTGCGCGACAGTGAACTCCAGAAGATGGCGCCGATAATGCAGGCTGCGGCATGCAAAACCACCTCGTGGGTCGAAATGGCCCAGAGCTGATTAGCGCAAGGCGGGCTGTTAACATTTTACCCCGCTTCGGACTTTGGAGCCATCCATGGCCGATTCTTGGCATCGAACTGATGCAGCGAAGCGGTTTGGTCTTGCTCACCGAGTTATCATCGTAGCCCGCATGTGGTTTTTGAGTCTGGGGTCATGGGGCAACGATTACGACAGACCCGTCGGCATGACGTGGCGAGACATGGCAGGAAATGCAGGAGCCCGACTGCAAGCAAGCATCGTAAGGTGGGAATCACGGGATAGGTGGCCAAAGCTTCTGCCGCAGCGCCGGGTCCCACTACCGTCCGGTTACGCCGCAGCTGATACCGCAGTTCAACTCTGCCCCGTTATCATCGGCGCCTCACCGACCTACCGACAAGTGGCGACGCATACAGCAACATCAACGACCATGTCTAATCCTGATTATCAGAAAGATCGCCGACGCCGGCCGTGGGCGCTAAGTTGAGCCCAAGGCCAGATTGGCTTTGCAGGCCTTCTTCGGCTTCTGAACAGCTCATGCAACGGCTGGCTGCATCGGGCTCAGTGCAAAGCCTTAAACGCTCTCCTCCGGTCTCGGTGTTTCTGGGGGTTGTCGTATCTACCTTGTTCCCATAACTTGCCCAATATCCGTGCCATCGCAACTCGTAGATGGTCGTAAAGCATGCTGAGGTATCCTTTAGCCCGGACGCTATGGCGTGGCTTCGGCAATCGAATGTTCAGCCCCATCCACCCCAGCTGCGTCCTACCCACCACAACATCACCCAATTCAGATCACCCGTCACAACTGCAACACCCCTCCGCCAAAGACACGCAGACAACTCAAACAACAACAGCTTCTTTTTTTGTGCGTCACGCCACAACAGCTTTGCCAAGGTGTCCACCATTTTTCCCTTCGAAAGGGTCTTCTACTCAACAACCACTTCCACCGCCCCAAAACTCTTCTTCTTCTTCATAAGATACTCGGATCTCTCACCTCCCCCTCAAGCCCCGTCTTCCATTCCAAGAATATTTTCTCGTCCGTTGCGTTCAGTCGACATCCGCCCAGGACCAGCATGAGCCGTCCATCTAGACTGTTGTCGACCGGTGCATCACGACAGTGTAAATCCCCAGCCACAAGCTACCTCGACACTGCTGTCCTGTGATTTATTCTCGTTGCTGTCGTAGTCTCGCGCCCAGTCTCGCGCAACGCGCTCACTAGCACCGCTGCCTGTGCTACTTTGTTGGGGAAACCCAACCGCAAGTAGCCCAGCCGAGCCCAAGTGAACCGACTGTAGTTGGCTGCGAGGGCCTTGAACATTTTGTTTCCAACTGATGGACCGAAGATGCATTCAAATACGTTGAGACCATCCGTCGTGAGAGTCGTTGCAAAGAACCAAGCGTATTATGAAGAAAGGAAGCCTTTCCCGTTTTGTTCCAGAAAATGAATAGTGTTGACGAAGGGGAATCCGTGTAGACGCCGTGTAAAGCAAAGATGCCGATTGGCGACAAGCCCATTTTGTGCAGAAATTGAAGTAATAACTAGAATGAAAATGGGGAAGGTGTAGTAGCAGTAGTAAATAGGTTCGAGAGGCGTGAGTGGTCGTACTGAAAACATGAGCAAGCGGTGTCACACGGAGCAACGCCGCAAAGGGGAAGGACTAGTCTGCACAATGTGCAGACTGGTTTTGCTGGCCTCGACCAGAAAGTCGCCTCATCTACAGGTGGACACGGCCGTGGTCGCCACCTAGGCGACGGGGGCAATGGGCGCGATGGGCGCGACCGCGGGCTGGGGGATGCCAGGGGCAGCCGTCAGGTCCACATCGTTGGGGATCTCGCCGTTGGTATTCTTCTGGGGGCAGTCACGAGAAATGTGACCAGCCTCGCCGCACTGGTAGCAGGTCTTGCCAGCAGTGTTGAGAGGGCCGCCGTTGGGCGCAGTGCAGTCGCGCGAGATGTGGCCAAGTTTGCCGCAGGCGTAACATTTCATAGCCTGAGCCTGGCAATCCCTGGCAAAGTGGTTGGGGCCACCGCACTTGTAGCAGGTTGCGGGACGAGGGCCACTGGCGAAGCCGCCGCGACCGTAACCGCCGTATGCGCCGCGGGGAACGGGACCGCCACGACCCATGTTGACACCGGCAGGACTGGGGCAGGCACGCTTCTCAAATAGTCAGCAATCCAAATCGTAGGCATCAGGGTTCCAGATCATCTCACGGCGAGGTGGCCGGGCTGTCCGCAGTTGTAGCAGCGGCCGCTCGTGCCGGCACCGCTCAAGCGCAGAGTAGGGCAGTCAGCCTGCACATGGCCAAGACCCTGGCAGTGATAGCACTGCTTGGCCTCGGTAGTACGGGGCAGAGGGCAGCCGTTGGACTCGTGACCGGGCTGCTTACCTGTATTTTTTCGTTAGCGGTTTGAATGATCTGGCCATTGGGGAAACGCAGAGCTTACAGTTGTAGCAGAGACGCTCGGCGGAGGAGCAAACCTCGGCGTAGTGGCCAACGTTGCCACACTTGTAGCAGGCGCGACGAGAGAGGGAAGACATTTTGATGGTTATGTGACTAATATTGTCCATGTTAGCCTTACGTACCGAGCGCCTCGAGTCTCGTGCATCTAATGTCTGCCACACAGTCTGCAGCGGCAACTTTCCGTCCACAGAACATCCATCGTGTCCAGATCGAGTGCCAACATTCTCAGAGAACAAATAGCATTCAACATGCAAAACAGCGCAGCCCGCAGCACCATTCCTCGCACTTTGGCAGCAGCGGAACCGCAACAGGAGCTCAGTCGGCAATAGCGCAATCAAGTGGCCCGTCATGGTGGTTTCTTGTGCAAGGGCATATAGCTTGATTCGGCAGCGACTGCCCTGGGGGCCGTGCAGAGAATGTGCAAGTATCCGGCGCTCGCAGCGACAAGCCATGCGACGTTTGTTGCTTCTCGTCCCGAAGACTGTACCCCAAAGCTCAAGACTTATGGGTTCGTCGCGCGGCATTGCTACGACGGTAGCTGCGAACTAATTGAGGGATCATGGCAAACGATCCACCGAAGGCTTTTCGGGAGAGCGGCGCATAGGTTCCAAATCGGAATGCCAGGACCGAACGCACAGTGATGACGGCAAGCGAGACGGCGCAACTGTAGCTCAGTGCCGACGGAGGGCTGATTCGGTCTTCGGGTTCGGTCAGGTTATGTTGCAGGCGATATATCGAGTAGCGGAGGATTTCGCAAGTCACGGAAAGGGTTGAGAAGGCGCGTTATGCTGTTACTAGGGCAAACGACAGTGATGCGCGAAACCCAAAGTTCGTGTGTGGGTTTGTAACCAGACCAGTAAGGCGGGGTTGGCGCATCACTAGCGACAGCAGCATGGCGCAACACAGGCAAGTACGCAATGCGAAAGCCATCTCAAGTGCCGCGTGTGTTGATAACCCGGTGGTCGACGTGGCCACTGGACTTGAGGCGGACGAGAGGCTGAGTGAGGTGTTCTTGGGGTGCGCTGGTCTGTGTTGTCGCGGTGCGATGCGATGCGTACTGTGTGGTGGCACAGTGGCGGCAGCGAACGAAAGCGATTGTCCTGCTGGACGAGCTGGGCAGGGCGATCCTCGGTGTATCGCATACACTTGATACGACGGCAGGATGATGGGAAGCTTGCGGTGCCGCATGGCGAGCAGGGAGCAGACAATGAGGGGGTGGGATGACTGGGGAAGAGGGACAAAGACTCTGAGATGGACAGGGAAAGAGGTAGGGAAAATAAAGAATTGTGCATATATATGTGTGCATGGGCTGCGCATGCAAGAACAAACAGTCGAGGGAAAAGCTTACCTTTTCGCGAAAAATACCGTTGAGAATATCGGGAAAGTCGACTTCGTTGCGAAGAGAGTTGCGGTTGATAGGGTGGGAGGGGAGGGAAGGGGACAAAAAAATTAATGGTTTGTGATGGAAGAGGGGTCTAGGTAGGTAGGTAGGTAGTGACTGTGCACTAGGTACCTAAGCGGTGGTGGACGGGGGAGGGCGAAGAACGGAGGCGAGGAAACTTGCTTCCGGATTTTTTTTTCTTGTTACGTTCTCTTTCTTTTCACTCGGTAAAGATACGCGAGTTCGCAGACGAGGAAGGATTCAACCCCAAAGCTACCCGATCGGACTTGACTAGGGGGGTGGTTTCAAAAGCGGAAGGCAGTGAGTAAGGGTATGTGTGTGTGTGTGTGCGCGTGCACCTACCTAGGTACATTAGGTATGTGTGTAAGACGAAGCAGGAAACCACTAATTCCCACCAAAGCAAAAAGTATGAACCCGGGGCAATTCATCAGCCAGTCACTGTAGTAGTGTCGGGGGTGACCCCAGTCCTGAACGTGTCTAGCAAGTAGAAAGGGGAATACGGGCCCGGACTGGGCTGGATTCGGATGGGAGAAGAGGGCTGGGTTGGAGGAGCGCGCGAGGCAGGCGACGAAGAAAAGGTATTCTCTGATTGCTGCTGGACACCTGATGGCCCCAGCGCACATACGTTCCTGGAACACGGAGACTGGAAGTGAAGACAGGAGGAGGATCGAGTACGAGGCCCGAGTTTGCTGCTGACACGCATTCGAGCCCTTCAGCTGTACTTTCCTTTCTGCACCCGCCTGCATTTGCACCCGCCCGACCTTCTTGCCCTGTCATCACCAGAAAATGAGCATTGGCGAGGATGGATGATTGGCTTTCCCGCGCCATCCCAGAGCTACACCATGCCTTCCCTCCCCTCATTTACCTAACGTGCTAACCTAGGTAGGTACTCTGAACACCACACGTCTGACGAGATGCTGAAAGAGGCCCATGTCAGCTGAGCGACCGCGGACAGAAACCTGGAGCGCACGGTCTCTTCCTGTCCACGCCCATGTCCAAACAAAAGCGACTGTAGCACAAAAAGAAAATTTAAAATAAAATAAAATAAAATAAAAGAAAATCAAAAGAATTAAGTCAGAGGCAACTCGCTCAGTGTGTCTCCGTTTTCGATCCGGCGCACCACCATTGTACGGGAGGGATTTCGGGAAGCACACGGACCGCCTTAGAGGGGCTTCCGTCATTCATCACGACGTAATAAAAAAAGAAAAAGAAAAAAAAAAGCGGAAGGGCGGAGAAGATAGGTACAGTAATAAGTCAAGAGTTTGGGCACAGTGAAAAGAGCGACCCAATCAGCAACTGTAGTTAAGTAGTGAGAAACATGACTTCTGGTGGTGCAATAGGACTCTCTGTACTCCGTACGGAGTACTGGGTTATCCTTTTTGCTGTGCCCAAATTTTTCACCTAGTACGGATACTGTATTCACTCTGCCATAGGTAGGTACCTATCTTGGGTTAGCCGCCTAGTAACCGTCGTGGCTGAGTATCGTAGCGGTACACCGGCAAGTCATACTTCGTCTTTCGCATGTCTAGGGCCACCACCAGTAGCTGCTGCTTTCTCAATCTCGTCTCGTCTCGCGTTCGCTTTCCCTTGACCTCACTCACGGGTGTCCTCTCCGTCTCTCGCCTTATGTCGCCAGGGGTGAAGAGGATGTAACCGCCAACGTGTTGTGGAAACCGCTCCTCCGCAGCTGGGGTCATCGCAAATCATAGTTCTCGTGCTTTGCGTCGTCACCTGCACTTGGTCCCGGCTACACTTCCCCAGCATATGGCTTGGGGGCATACGACGGCTCTTGAAGCAAGTGGAATGTTGGACAATGCATCGCTTTAGTCGGCCCGTTGGGCTCATCTGACACATTATACATATATATATATATATACTAGTCCGTCTTGCGCTATTGCAAGTGCCCGAGTTTTTTACATATCGCGCCAAGCCAACCCTAGCCGCTAAGGTTAACAAGACGCCTGTTTACACGACCAGAGTCTCTCTAGACACATGCACTTTGCATTGAAACATTGCTATTTTGCTTTGAGTGGTCTTGGCCCGCACCGACGCCAGTGCCATCATTTGCGTGTCGCACAGTAACTGACCCCAAAACAAACATACACCAACGCCGCCGCCGGATGTTCAATCACATTAATGGAATAGGTAACCGTACTCATCGCCAGGAAGGAATGATATCGTTGTCAGCTCATGACAGAACCTGGCGTTCATCCACGCGCCCAATTTCGGAAGGATGCGGCGCCATTGGGGCCTCCGTCATGGCCGGTGCTATCGATCGGGGGCGAGCGTCGACGACGTAGCTCACCCCGTCTTCCGAAGCATACGAGGGCGGCCGAGGGCCACTGGTGCTCTCTCCCGATGTGGACAGCCCGACGTTCGATGCGGCATTTGGATTACGCTGCCAGTATATCCGGTTGGGGTCAACTCTCTGTTTCAGGTCCGTATTAGTCTCATGCGCGTAAACTTGTGTCCCGACAGCGAATACATACCACGCTCTCCCGCCAAAGGCCATAGGCAGGCGGCTTGGCCAACAACGCCTCGCTGATCTCCCCTTGCTCCTCTTCATCGCGTGCCAGCACGACCCGGATAGGTTCTCGAGGCACAGCATAGCCGCCGGGGGCCAGAAGCTGCGGCATCGGCGGCCTGGAATCGCCGTCGGGTCGTAGCCGAAAGATGACCATGCAAAGCCGAATCAAGCCATAGCAAAAGAAGACGGTGACAAACAAGATGACAAGTATGAGCAGAATCGTAAACTCGCTACTGCGGATGTTCTGTGTAAGAGATAAAGCTAGGTCTGGCAATGAGGTCAGTCACACGTTCCATACAAAAACTCCCAGCTGGGCAAGGTGAGTCTGCACTTACAAGCCGTTAGAAGCATGGCTAAGAAAATGCCCGATATGAAGCACTGGAGAATCTGGGACCTCATGCGCCGCGACTTCGGCCAGGGGATACAAAGGAGAAACCGTTTCGGATGTCTCTCGTCGTGGTTCGCATGTTGACGGCGATGCGCACGCCGTCGACGCCGCCGTCCGTCCTGAGCCATCTGTGCCAGATGCATCTCTGCCGGATCCGGCCCGGTGAACGTCCTCCTCCTGCCAGTAGATTCAGGCCGGGATACTCGGGCCACGGGTGCTGGCATTGCTACCGGGGCAGCAGGTGCCCCCCCGGTCCGGGACAGGGCCGGGGGGTCTGTCGACGCTTCGTTTTCTCGGTTGGGGAGGCGTTGGATTGAATTGGGCCGCGAGTCCGGGCCATTGGAGCCCGCTGTCCATGTCCTTGTGAGATGCGGCAGATTAAGACGAGTTCCTGGGAGTGCTGGAAGGCCTAGGTTGAAACGAGGAGTTTTGGGCGGGCGACCTTCTTCGCTACCAAGCCTCTGCATCGCGTTACCCGGACCTCGTCTCGAGGAGAGCGAAGGCCGTGTTCCAGGCAAACGTCTCGATCGGGATCGTGATGCTTCCTCCATTTCCGGCTGCGTCGATGATCCTGCCGAAGCCCGCTGCTCAGTGCCCTCCCTGTGGGAGAACCGTCCTCGGCGCAGAAAGTCCATGGCGAAGGGCCAGGTCGGCTGATGAGCGAGCCCTCGTGTTGAAAATTGACAGAAGTGCTGTGATTATCCCCGTTCAAAGTTGCGTCATGCTTCAGAAGCAGACGTCTTCTGGATAAGCGCGACTCGCCGCCGGGTGTTTCCTAGTAGCCCCGCAGAGGCCGTTGATGGTGTTAAAGGCGGCGAATAAGCCCCTTCTCAGTCAGATTGAGGTGACGGGCGAGTCAACGATGGTATATGAACAAAGGCTGCCGCCTCGTTGCGCGGGAACGACTGGGCGCTGATAACGGCCGGGAAATGGTGTAGGGCGACGGACGGAAAGAAGAGCCGTTGAACAATGAACCGAAGGTGTCGAGCGACCAAGGTTCTCAAAGGGATAAGAGCGTGGCGTCTGGATGGCTGAGAAACGGTCGGGCGATGGTCAAAGGGAGGGCTGCTCGCGGCGTGTGAAAACAGCAGGGAGAGAGGGTATCAAGAAGAATAACGCCGGCCAGGGCAATGTAATGTACTGAACTCACAGAGCCTTGAAGGTACCGATCGACACGCAGTGCCGTCTCGTGACTATTGTAAACAAAAATGAGAGAAACAACGAGCGAGAAGACATGCGGGAGCTAGCAAGAAGCACGCGATGCCGGAGAGGCAGCTGGCGCCAACATGACGCTAGGTGGAATAGATAGGTTGGTTTGAAAAAGAAGACAATGTTGCATGCAGAGAGGAATGGAGGAAAGGTAATAGGGCACAATAAGCCTCCTGTCAATATACTAGAGGAACTATAGGGTGGAGAGCGTCGTTTCCGAGCGTCGTCGGCGTCCGTCCGCCGTCCAGCAGTTCGGGTCGCTAAGATGAATCAAGGCAAGGTCGCGGTACGTGGAGAGGGCGAAACAGAGAAAGAGAGAGAGAGAGAGGCCAGACAGGCGCCTGTCTACCGTGTGCAAGGGGATTGGGCGGGTATCGAGTAGCGTACCGTGTCACTGGACAGGAGGAAAAAAGAAGCGGCAAACTCGGTCACACAGACACCAGTCTCATCCCGGCATATCTGGGATCTTGCGACGCCTGCAACGCTGAGACTCTGGGGGAGAAGGAGAGAAGGAGAGAAGGCACGGAGGCACGGAGGCACGGAGGCAGGGGTACAAGGAGGCAGGAAAAAGGACAGGGAGGCAGCGGATCGTAAGGACGGGATAAAACCGGGATGAGGATGATAAGAGGAGGAAACGTGCAGGTTCTACGGCATCGACGACGGGAACCTGTTGCATCTGCATAAAACCCTTGTAGAATGCTGTCGCAAGGGCATCTCCGAGAAAAGCATTGGGATTGAGCTGTTGCCGCTCGTTCTTGCCTAATGTACATCACATACGAGGGGAGGGAGTTAGAGTGATTAGCGCAAAAAAAGAAGGGCGGACAGTGGTATGGAATGGATCCGCCGTCATTTGTCGACTACTTCTCTGACAGCTTGGGTGTTGCACAATTTGCAAGGGTATCGTTTTTGGGAGCGCGGGGCCAATGGAATGAATGACTGACCCCGGACGACCAGGACACACAAAAAGCACTAGCCCAGGGGTCTGCTGGATCAGGAGCGTGTTTCGGATTCTCGAGATCTCAGGTTCTGGGGGGAGGAGGGCCCAAGTCCAAATCCGGTTCATACCGGCATTGTGGTCGCGCTCTGGAGGCCTGGAGGGGCAAGCCACTAGTAGGTAGCTATGGTGTTTGGCGTTTAGCGTCTGAAGGAGCTGCAACTCTCTTCCCTTCCTAATGCAGCGTAACATTATACCTACCTCGCGTTACCTGATGCACATGCCTAGATAGGTATGAATACACACCAGCACCTACGGTAACGTTGGCGGCAAGAATAGCAACCACTCGGGCCCCGGCCCCCTTGCCATAGAGGGGCCTCTGTGGCTTGACATGTTTCTTGTGTCGGCCAAGACGAGAATCGTCTTTGTCGTCGTTGGTGTTGGACATGGCCCCCGCCGCTCCTCCACCTCCACCAACCTCGTCCGGTTGATTCAAGACGAGCCAATCTTCAATTCACGGCTCCCGAATCAGCTAGTGGCTTGGGGTGAGCGTTCTCCAGGAAGCCCACTCGTAATTTGATGCCTCGTTGTTGCAAAATCAGGTCCATTTCAAGAAGCAGGGGTTGACATTAATTGCACTCAGATAAGGTGCGGGTACCCTCATTCGAGACATCCTGATTGCGCCCGTAACTTCGCAACAGGGATTCGCTCTGCCTCCTCCAGATGCGATGCTGCAAGCATATATGTACAAACCCCTCTTGCGCGCCCACAGACTATACAGTCCACGATACAACTTGTTTACTGGGCTATCTGCTCGACAAATTGCAACGCTTCCTTGGTGATACCTCGGTATCATCACCACCGTCCAAAGTTGTATATTCGTCCGTCAGACGTCTGCAGTCATCCCATGTGCAGTCTCCATAAATCGCCCTTTGGGACCCAGGATTGCCCCGCCTTCTCGGCTGCCACGGCTGCCAGTAATCTCCACGCCCTCCTCAAAGCCGATAGAGTTTATCAAGCCTCCTCTCTCCCCAGCACAAGGCGCGTGCGAGACGAACATTGTGCTTCTCTTCCAGAGCAAACCCTACAAGGACCCGGTCTGTTCAACCTCACTGTGTAGATAGACGAGTTTCAAGTCAAACGACATCTGCCCTTGCCCATAGTTCGAAGCAAACCTTTCACCGCTTTACACAGCAGCTTTCTTGCCCAGCTCGTTGTCATGGTCCCGTAGACCTGATGAAGCCCGACAACGCGGGTATGCTTCGTCTATGGCCACACGCCAAAAGACTCACCAGATGTCAAAACAGTGGTCTGGACCTCACCTATATGGGCAACGTTCGTGGGGGAGGTGACGCATTCCCAATCCACGTTTCTCACGCCACGGGGAAACCATGTGGCCCTGTCCCGAGAGCCAATGCAGACACACCAGATAGGTAATTCTGGACCGTGCCATTCGCCGACATATGCTCTCTCTTGACACTACGTAAACCATATGCCCAACGAGCCCATCCAACTTGCCGACATCAGCATTTCTAGGGTATCAAACTGGTCGTTGCCTTATTTTCCATTGCCATGTTGTTAGAGCAGTCCCCGTAAGGTAAATGCCTCCTTTACCAAGAACTACCGCCGATTTACGGTCTCATATCGTCTCCATGTCCCTTCGCGCCATGCGTGCAGATATGCCACCATTGTTGGGTCGTACGTGGCAGCTCTAACCTCCACTTCGGCAAACTTTCAACTGATCGTGCGCAGTGTGTTGATGATGCGCGCTCTTCGTTCTACCTTATCACGTGTGCAAATATAGTCTTCTCTACCATCACCTATCTCAGCCCCATCATCGGTGGACTGGAGGTGAGCTGCGTGCCGCTATGGCATAGCTGTACACATCGACCAGGAGGCGCTCTTAGGAATGTCCTTAATTAGAGGATTGACTTCTCGCTAGGCGCATCGCCATCATCGCAGCTCTCCAAGAAGCATGTTCCGATCCGAAGATGCAGAAAGTACTTTGATGATGCATTAGCTCAGTATCGTCACCATGCTTCAAGAAGTACAACTCACCAATAGGTTCCGTGCCGGGCGCAAATTCAACACAGTTCACGGTCCCCTTATGTCCAGGAAGCTTGTACATGAGCTTGCCAGTCTCACTGGACCAAATAGTGGCGGTGCCGTCGCCAGAGCCCACAGCCACTTTCTTGCCATCAGAGTCCCAACTAGCTCGAATGAGGTTCTTCTCAAGGCCCACGGAAGCGCCGTCAAATGTTCTGATGTGCCTCTCTGTCGGGGCAAACGGACGAATGTCCCATGTTCTCACCGTAGAGTCCATGGCAAATGAAAGCAGCGACTGTGAGTCCGGTGATACTCGGAGTGAAGTAACCGTATCCTGGTGTCCAAGCATGGAGTACACAACGGATTTCTTACGCAGGTCCCAGACCTTGATATCGTTGTCGATGCCGCTCGAGTAAACTTCGTTTCCGGCCTCGGACATAGCAATGGCAGTAATGGGGAACTCGGTCTCGATGTGATCCACTGCATGCTTCGATCTTGGGTCCCAAAGTCCTATCGTGCCATCATCGCTACCGCTCACCAGCATACCCTCGCCTCGTTTACTGATATCCATCGTGTTCACAATCTGGTCATGGCCGATGTACCTTCGTATTCTTGTGCCGTTCTCAAGATCCCAGCTTGCCAGATGTGTGTCGGCTGAAGCTGAATAAATAATCTTAGAGTCTCTGGACCACTGCAGGTCGAGAACAGCGCCGCGGTGGCCCGTAAGAATGCCGTAATTTTCGCAGTCGCCATAGGTTCGCCATAATACTGCGGGGTATTAGCGAAGCACTATGATGGGAGGCTCAGAAATCTCAAACGTACAAATGCTTCTATCCATCGACCCGGAAGCAATGAAATTGCCGGTAGGGTCAAATTTGGCGGCAAAGACCTCACCAGAGTGGCCGGAGAGTTCCATGACCGGTGCCTGCAGATTACTCGTCCGGGGAGTCTAGCCGTGATACTATTAGTAGAGTGCTGGTTGCTTGTAATGTATCTGCTTACTGTCTGCACCAATGCGATGGTGTTCCCTGAGGCATTCAGTCGAGCCAGCGCTCCGGTTGAAGATCCCACGTTCTGACGCTTCACGATCATCTGGCCCGCGCCAGGCTCGTCAGAAGCTGGTCTTTTTTCGGCAGACATGATGTCGGTATACAGATCGAAATCTCGTGTAAATATCGAATAGTAGGGCCAAGGAGGTTGTCTTGATCCGAAGGCTGCGGGGATATCGTGTCGAGGCGTGTCGAGGCTAGTGAACGAGGTTCAATCACAGAACAGAGAAAATGTGTTGCTGCTGAGATCATTGACCTGTGCGAGGTTGGGGGCGAAACGGAGCTTGCTTCTGCCGATCCCCGAGCTCTGAGGCTAGAAGGTGGAGCTTCAACATTGGGGTGCGCCGGTATCCACTGTTCACTGTTCCTCCCTCTCCCGATAGATAGCAACCCCTGCACTACCATCCTTTCAATACCCACTTCACCACCGAGGTAAACAGTCAACGTCAAACACCCAAGTACTGAGAGAGCAGCGACCTGAAGGCAGTCGCCCTCGCTACCGCAACCCTTGTGCAAAGGCACTTGTAACAGCTTCGGTACTGCGGCGAAGACAGCGACAGACGACGTAGGCAAAACATAACCGACCTGACTGCGGTTGCCGCGTGCTTCGAACTACTTCCCTTATACTTGACGTCGTTGCAGAGGCCATCAAAATCAATAACAAACCTCGAAAGCTGCTACTACGATCATGGCTGCAAGCAAGGCAACCCGCTTAGGCGAGGAGTGTGTTTCCCTGTAGTACGTGCGTTGATGACATGAGCTAACCACACGGCAGGATCTGGAAGTATGTCACAACGTCCACATATGCCTAGAACGAACACATTTGACATTTTGATTGCAGGACTCGGATAGACAAAGTCAACGCTGAGCTCGTCACACTCACTTACGGAACGATCGTTGCGCAACTGTGCAAGGACTACGACACCGATTATGCCGAGGTCAACAAGCAGTTGGACAAGATGGGGTACAATATTGGCCTCCGTCTCATTGAGGACTACCTGGCCAAATCGAACACGATGAAGAGATGTTCAAACTTCCGCGAGACGGCGGACATGATTGCGAGGGTAGGAAGCCGTCGTAATGTCTTGCAGAAGGTCTTTGTACTGACGCTTCGCAAATCAGGTCGGCTTTAAAATTTTCCTGAATATCACGCCGCAGGTGACGAATTGGACAACGGACAACAAGCAATTCTCGCTTGTTTTTGACGAGAATCCTCTGGCGGATTTCGTCGAGCTGCCCGACGACGAGCGAGCTCAGGATGAGCTGTGGTACTCCAATATTTTCTGCGGCGTGCTGCGAGGAGCACTGGAGATGGTGCAGATGCAAGTAGAGGCGCATTTCATCAGCGACGTGCTACGGGGTCATGATACGACGGAAATGAGGGTGTCATTAGTGCGGTACATTGACGACGAACTACCGCCGGAAGACGATTGAGTGGCATGGCACCCCCCACGCAATACATCGTTGTCTCTCCTTGCCTAAGTCGAGCATTGTGCTCCGATTCGTCTCCTCCCATACTGCATGCCATGGTCTTCAATCGTCGAGAAACTTTGATATGGTACAGTCCGCCTTGTCAGCTGGAGAGCACGACTTCAGCCTCGTCATTCTTTGCGAAACGCCAAGATCAGACTGGAGTATGTATCCTAGGCGATCCCTTTCAAGGTTACACATGTGCACAATAATACTCTAACAGTCGGGAAAACCCAGTATAAAACACGAAGATCAGACGTCATGAAATCATTGCGCTGGAGAGGACTAGACCGGGAGCCCTCTGGGCCGTGCATCGCAGCGCATGCTGTTCAAAGGCGATCAGGCTGCGAAACACGTCATTCACAATACCAAACAGAATTATACGCCCAGAAATGGTCCACGCTAGCTGCAAATTCCCACCTAGGACGATGGTAGCGGTATATATACCAAACCAAACAGTTTTGGTTTTTGGTACAATTATCAGAAGAATTCCAGGGGCCAATAACGCCCAAAATCGAATGGCCAGCTTCACAGTCCGCGTTGTTGGCATTTGTACCTTGGCGCGCTGCATGCGCGAGCCATGTTGCGGCGACGGATTCTGCACGCCCAACGTTGGGCCTGGCTCCAGTCTGTCTCCACGTAGTCTGTAAGGCGAGTTAATTTTGACGACGAGCCGTAATAATTTAGTCTTGCCAACTTGGTAGGCATCAGTGTGCAAAAGATTTGATTCAACAGTACTATGTTTCACGAGAACTCGAAATAAAACCCGCACATTTAGTTGGCGGTAGACCTGCTTCGGCCAGCACGTGTCAGCTCGTTGCAGGTCGCTCGTAGGCGTGAAAACGCCTGTGTCTCTCGGGGCGGCCGGTCGGGTTCGGCGAATCCCGGGGGGGAGGGCGAGATGGAAAAGCCGGTGAGTCGGGGTGGCGGCGTCACCCGAGCGTGGACTGGCCGATAGGCAAACGGCAGTGGGCGTCATCCAAGGCTACCCTAACGTTCTCGGTGCACCGATTGTATCTATCATCACATCAGGAATTCTGGTACTGCCTATGCATTGTGTGTGAGGTCAACCCTTAACCTCGGCTTCCGTCGTCATGACTGGAGCTTGAAGTTGCCGTGATATTATTGTAAGGGTCTGTGCGAGGGTCCAGCAATGGTCTCTAGGCCGCCTTTAATTTTGACTGTGGGTAGGTCGTTTGCTTATCGAACGAGATGTCTTTGAAAGGGAAAGCTTTCAGAGCAAAGTGTATCAAGTCGGAACACATTGCAATGCAGGATTTCCGGCGTCTTGACTCTGGAGGGTTCGTCGACTGCGAAATCAAGTGTGTTGAAAGGACTAGGTAGCTAGCCTGTACGGCGCATGAGTCGGGGTGGACTGCTTTCGAACGACATCAGTCAACCAGACGGGAACATTGATTGCGACGGTGTGGTCAATGAGAGCCCGTCTGCACTTGCATGTAGCAAGCATATGCGTCCGCATCTGCGACTGAGTCTACGTTGACGCGATATGTCGAAGAGGATTAAGACCAGATGTGAAGCGGCAGGCTCTGCTTGAAAATTACTTAAGGCAGAGGGTAGGTAGTGGGTAGGCAAGCTAGAGCTTAGAAATACCTATCATTCGGCGTGGTATGACGCGTCTGTACTTGCAGCGCGGTCGCGGTCGCTGAGACAAGTGAGGAGACGCGCCGGGTTATGAGCTCCATCCAAGATGCCATGGGATGCGACGCGCATTAACGAGGAACATCGGCAGACGGGAAGGCGCAGTCTGAATAAATCAAAGATCCGGGGCACAGGGTCGGCATTCTCATCTCGCGCCGGTGTCTACATCTTATTGCATTAAGTGTTAACCCGGTAAACACAAGAACAACCCAGCAATTGCAGCAATTCAGGCATCTCGGGTGCATCTCAGCTCTGCTGCTGCTGAAGGAAAATGGGGCCTATAGGCTCCCTAAGTACCTGACAGGGCAGGGTACCTACCTACCTAAGTAGGGCATAACGTACCAGCAAAATGGTACCAACGTAGCACTTTGCAGGGCAGTCAGGACCCGACGTTGGAATGGCATTTAGGAGGCGGCATGGCGGTGACAGGTGGTTGTGCCCCCCCTTCCACCCACTTTTGGAACCCTCTGAGTCTGAAGTCTTGTACCTTTCGCCCCTCCCCCTTTGCCTTTGCTTTTGATATAACGATATGTGGCCTCAGGCATAAGCTGTTCTCAAATGTTCGCGTCACATTCTGAGGTATACCCGCGTCGAGAGCGAGCTTCTGCCCCAAGCAGCCAATGTAGCTGCTAGCTAACTCGCGGTTCCAGGTCTCCAGACTTCCCGCTCCGAAAATCTGCCCAAGCGTCCCAGGCGAAAATTAGGAAAATCCCAACCCCATCCATCCTTTCCCACGCCCGCGTCCACGTCCACTTCCACGTCCACTCCCCGACACTCACTCCCTCCTCCTTTTGCCTCCGTCCCGTCGACCAAGCGCCCCTCTCTTTCTCTCCTCCTGCTCTCTCTGTCTCTCCTGCTGCTCCCCCTTCCTCCCCATTTCCAACAACCGAACCCCTAGTGGCCTTGCATGCCCAACGCATTCAAACTCAACTTGGCCTCGAATTCGCGTCCATTTCTCCGTTAATGGTTACCCGCCGTCGCGCCCCCCGGAGACAATCGTCGACTTCGTTCTCGACTTCGCCTTATCGGCCTAGCGCTTGCGGGAGAGAATAGGGAACCTGACCTGCTACGGGATAATACCCTTGGCTGTTAGGATCGACGACGACGCCGCCTGGCCAGAGCCACCGCACCGTGCTGGTGGACTTGAGAGACGTGGGGAGAGCACCTGCACAGCAGCGATAGCAGCACCAGCTGCCAGCCCGGCCAAACCCCAAAGCCAAAAGCAAATCAAATCCCAAAAGCCAAAGCCAAACTAAACTACCTTTACCCCCGACCCTTAGCCGTCGCGCTGCTTCTCCTCCTCCTCCTCCTCCTTCTCCTCCTCTTCCCAGGCTGTCTTTCCACTCCCATTTCCACTCCTCAACCCATACCTGCATTTGCATTTGGCCCTGCTTTCGCCTTCGCCGCCTTCTTCGCCATCGCCCTCATCGACCATTCAATCCAGCCTTTGTCGCTGTACGCACGTCCTTCGACCCTTTTTATTTTATTTTATTCTCTCTCTATTTTTTCTTTCCCTTCTTCACTTGTAACATCACATACCACCACTGCCATCACGAGTTGCGCATACTCATCTACCCGTCGCGCCTATCCAACCGAGAAGACATTCCCTTCCTTTCCTTCAACTACTCCCGCGCCATCACTCAAAAGCTACTCACCCCCCTGGTGGCCCTCAACCCACTGACTCCCACACATCTGCCCGCCAGTTAGCCAAACCCTCAGTGCCAGTCTTGACCGTCGCTGACCCGGGAAGTTTTTGACGAACCCCAACGCTCACTCTTCGCCTCCGACCATCATCTATCCTTCAACCTCTTCTTTGTTCACCGCATCGACCTCACCCTACCCTGCTGGGCAGACGACTGTCTGCAACCCAGCCCACAACCATGAACGTTAACGTCAATCCCAATTTGGCCAACATGAACGCCATGGGCGGTCCTGTCGGCGCCCCCGTCCCAATGATGAATAATGGCGCAGTCGCGCCTCAAGTCGCCGGCGGTCCACGACAAATGCCTGTTCCTACCGAGAGCCAGCGTACCTTGCTCAATACTTACATCTACGAGTACTTCCTCCGCCATCAAATGTTTGACTGCGCCCGAACCCTCCTCAACGGGGACAACCAAGTAAACGTCATGAAGGACGGATCAAACCGCCGGAGGGATGAGAACGGTAATCTATTGGGCAACGGCCTCGGCGATGACCCCATGGACACCGACTCAAAGGATGACATCGATGCCAAGTTGCCTGACGACCTGCCTGCCCCTAAACTGCCAATGCCTGCCTCGGAATCATCCTTCTTGTACGAGTGGTTCTGCTTATTCTGGGATATCTTCCATGCACAACGCACCAAAGGAGGCAACGGCCCTGTCAATCAATACGTCAGCCACACCCAGGTACGCCGCCCCGTTCATCTGCGCATCATGTATGCAACCGCTAACTAAGCTCTTTAGCAGCAATCCCGCATGCGACAGAACCAGCAGCAGGAGCTGCTCCGCCAGATGCGCCCCGATGGCTTGGCTGCCCAGCAGCAATATCATTCCCAGATGATGCGCAACATGCAAAATGGAGGCATGGCCATGAACATGCAAAAGAACCAACTTGTGCGGACGGCCATGGCCAATAATCAAAACAAGTGAGTCGCTACAGCTTTCCATATCTTGCCCCGTATTGTCTGCTTGGTTTGCTAATTTTGCTCCACGTAGCCCCCAAGCTATGCAGATGCTGCAGCATGCAAAGCAAAACCAGATGCAACGAGACCCTTCGGACATGGATGGAAACCGCCAACGCCCTTCGTCGCCTGGTTCCGGTGAAAACGCCCCCTCGCCTTCCAAGAGACCTCGCCTTGATGGAGCGCCCAACTTTCCCAACCAACCCGGAATGATGCCGAACGGAAGACCACAACAGGGCATGCCGGGCCAGCAGGTGGGGACCACCCCAAACGTAGCCCAAGCTCAGCAAATGCTCATCACCAACGGCATTAACCCGGCGTCGCTGACCCAGCAGCAGTTTACGACATTCTCAAATCAACCCCCTGCTGTCCAAGCTAAGTCCATTGCCACATATGCGGCAAACCTCCAACAACACCAAGCTAGTCAAATGCCCAACAAGCCCATGCCCAACGCGTCTGGCCCTCAGGGCCAGGGCTCGCCCATGATGGCGCAAGGCCCTGATGGGGCCGGGCTGGCTGCATATTACAATGCTGGGGAGATGGGCCCCGGCGGTATTAGGCCTGGCCCCGGCGGCGCTCAAGCCGGTGGTGGAAGTAACCACGCTCTGCAAGACTATCAAATGCAGCTAATGCTTCTGGAGCAGCAGAATAAGAAAAGACTTATGATGGCTCGACAGGAGCAGGATAGCATGGGCGGCGCTATGCCTAGAGGAGATGGACCAGCTGGCCCAGGCGGCCCTCCTGGCCCCAACGGCCAGCCGTTCCCAGAGACATCTCCTCAGGGAGGCAGATCCGGAGCGTCGCCGAACCCCACGGAGCAGATGAAGCGAGGCACGCCGCAAATGAACAACGCCGGCATTCCGTCACCATTGCCTGAGGGCGCGCAGTCACGCGGCTCCCCCAATCCCATGAACTTTATGAACAGCCAAATGGATCCTAACATGGCACCTCACTTCTTCAAGGGTATGGGCAACCAGATGGACGGCAACATGGTCCCCAACCCTCAGATGAATGGCGGCATGCGCCCCCCTAGCTCGCATCCAGGTCAGCAGTTTAACGGTCAGATGAACCCGCAGCAAATGATGGCCGCTCGACAACAGCAGCAACAGCAGCAGGCGCAACAGCAGCAGCAGCAACAGCAGCAACCCCAACAGCAGCCTCAACAAGCCGGTCAGGGCAATCAACCGGTGCAGTGGCAGCAAGGCGGCCCGAACGGCAACCAGATGGTGCCCCAGGGCCCCCAGGGTCCAGTTCAGGGTACCCCGCAACAACGGTCAATGCCGCCCCCGTCTGCACCAGCCGGTGCCAACGCCAACCGCACAAGCACGTCGTCGCCCCAGCAGGCGACAGCAGCCCCTCCAACTCCTTCGCAGTCTAACAAGGCTGCCCCGAAGAAGAAGGACAACAAAAACGCCAAGACCAAAGTAAGCACTTCACTTGAGCTCATAACATCGATCCACCAGCTAAAACCTGTGCAGGCCGCGACTCAAAAGAAGTCGAACACAAATCTCAACAGCGGCACTACTCCAGCCGCAGACAGTGCGCAGGATGCCGAGGCGCCAACGCCGGCGACCCCTATCACCCCTGTCAATGCTGTCAGCTTCAACAAGAACGGGCAAAACGCCGCTGTGCCCGCTGTACCCAATGGTCAACAGGGTGCTCCTGCGCCAGCTCCTCCAGCTCAGGTCGCTCCTCAGCCTCACACAGACAATAACCAGAACGGGTTTTCTGGCTTGGATAGCTCGAACGCGATTGACTTCAACGCCATGACATTTGCCGACCCTTTGGTCTCGGACAACGTGCTCAACGACTTTGACTTCGACTCGTTTCTCCATGAAGACGGCGACAACCAAGCCTTTGACTTCAACACCGGGTCATTCGGCATGGAGGGCGGCAACGAAATCGGCGCAGACTAGACGTCCGAATCTGGCTTTGCGCAGGCGTCCGGTTCTTCCCGTTTCCCGTCAGGCTTCAGTCATGTGTTAAGGCGT